TCCACTAGAATTATTTTACTGTTGTAGGAGGACTCTGTGGCAAGAATAGAGCAGTGGTCAGGTCACAATGGCATCATCAGGATGGATCTTTCTGAGTGTCTGTGGTGACTGCTACCTGGACAGGATTCATAGAAAGTCTATAAGATGGGGATGATCTGAGGACCTATATTCTAGCCTTGTTTCATAGAAACTGTGTTTACACTAGCAAGAATACCCCAGAACAGATTTACTTGTGTATACTCTGAAAATATTTTGTGCTTAAGCATTTCTACATAATTAAAACAAAAGACCGACTGAACAACACAACAACATGCCATCGTGCTCCCTATATAACAGGAGGCGGCTTTCATGCAGGAAATAAGAAAAGTACCAAATGTGTTGAAAGGTGATGCACACTGTGGAGATAAGAAAAAGTGGAGGAGGTGAAGGATACTGTGAGTGTCAAGACAAAAAAAGACGGAGGCATCTGTGCCACAGAAAGTCCCATTTTCCCATGCAACATGGAGAAGAGATGTTCTACGTGCTCTCAATATGGAAAGGAAAGGCCCAATCTGATCCATATCTGCTATGAAGAGAGTGCAAAGGCTATTGTAGAAACGAGAACACACAAGAGGCTACTGCCATTAGAAACTTGAGAGAAATTAATGACAGAGAATAGGACAATGGAAGTGGTGGTTTTGTTTGTCCAACGTTGAAATTTATGAAGGTGCACATGAAAATTACATGTATTCGTATCTATAATTCATGGACACAAATGCACTTATAAGGGTATGACATTGTCAGTGATTGGGTTCTACAATGCTGTTTGTTCTCCTGTATGAAATTTAAATTCCCCATACCCTGAGTATCTGGGATTAAATTAAGTAGAAAAAGAGAGTAACAACTCTTATGATTATGCTTGTATTTATACCTTGTTTATTTATCATTATTGAAGCATTATTCAATTCTTCATAGGTCTGAAAGTTATTATCTATTCTCTACCAGCCCCTAATTTGTAAGATTTCCTCAAGCATTCTTACAGAATGGTAAAATGGTAAAAACCCTCCATCTGTATTTTTCATTTTTTTTTTTAATCAGAAATTGCCTTCATATTAGCCACAATTTTGGGGGTAGAAGTTGGCACTTCTTGGTTGGCACTGGATTTTGTTGTCAATAAAGTTGATTTTTAATGTTTGATGTCCCCTAAACTGATAAGATCTTTATTTAAACATTATATCTACATATTTAAAAAAAAACAGAAAATGCACTAGTTTTCCATTTGATAAAATTCTTAATTCTCCCCCCAATTTTTATTTTATTTGATGAGTTTTTCATTCATGTTAGAGGACAAATTTCTGGGTATTATATGATAGTGTGTGCTAAATTTATACTGAAAGAACTACAACAGGCATAGAAATATTCATTCACGTATTGTTGTGGTTTTGAAGGAAAATGTCACCAAAGGCTCATATGTTTGAAAATTCAGTCAGTCCCAGGTTGATGGAAATGGTTGGGTAGGATTAAGATGTACAGCGTGTTAGAGGAGGTGTGTCACTTGGGGCAGGCTATGGTTTCAAAATCCCACATAATTTCTAGTCCACCCTCCTGCTTCATGATTTTTGTCTCAATGCCAGACCTCGAGGTCTGGGGCAGAGCTGTGCCTGCCTGCCTACTGCCCCTGCTGCCATGATGGCCGTAGATTTTAACCCTTTGAAACCCTAACCCCAAGTAAACTCTTTCTTTCTTTTATAATATCCCTTGGTCATGGTGTTTGATCACAGCAACAGGATGACATCCTGGTTTACCCTTATGTCTACAAACATGTACACATGGGTATTCTCCAAAACACACACACACACACACACAGAGAGAGAGAGAGAGAGAGAGAGAGAGAGAGAGAGAAATAGAGAAAGTCTTGTCTATATTTTAAATAAATTCTCTGATGTTATTGAATATATATAGACAATAAGAATTTATTACATTAGGGAATGGAGAGATGGCTCAGAGGTTAAGAGTACTGGCTATTCTTCCAGAGAAGACAGGATCAATTCCCAGCACCCATATGGCAGGTCACAACTGTGTATATCCAGCAACAGAGGATCTGACACCTTCACACAAATGCACATAAAATAAAGTTAAAAAAATATTTAAACAAAGAAGTTATTACAGGGAACAAAATTAATATCTACTATTGTTATCCATTCCTGTGGAGAATGCAACAAAAATGCAATCTCATTTTTTTTGCAAGATTCCTAAATACATTTATATAAATCTTGTCACCAAAATATTAAAAAGTGTCCATTAAAATTATCTGATAACATGGCCTATTTTTCCTAAATTAAATCAATAAAAATAAAATGCTAGCGCTAGACAAGTCATTATTAAAAATGCGTCCACAGCATTCTTATAATTTCTATAATTTAAGATATTAAACTTCTTTCAATTCCTTGTAGTGTTCAACTAAAGTCAGCAAATTAGCTTGAAGTTGGAGACTAATTGAAACAAAATCTATCTGAGAAAGGTCATCTAGTAAAGTCATGATAAGGTCATTTCCCCTAAGAATTCCCACAGTTCTTTATTGCCCTTTGTTTGAAAGGACTGTGTCATCAACACCTTAATTACTGGTGCAAACAGACAGCAGGCATCAAGGGTAGAGATGAGTCTCAGGGAGCCTTGCATAAAGCATGCATGTCATTCTGGAGAGCCCATCCACAAAGGAGAAATCACATTTTAATATCTAAGATTAAATTTTATAGCCATGGCTCTGCTCAGTGTTTCACAGTAACCCTACACATCATGATAACTAAGCTCATGAATGTACATTAGGAAAGTTCAATGGTTAAAATGGAATATTTCTGATATTCTGTGAGAAGCGTCAATAAGTACTCAGAGAGAATACATTATAATAAATGCAGTGAGCTTTGAAAAGATTATATAAAATGATGCAACAGGGTGTGTTTTGGAAATATAACTTTATCATTGAATTATAAAAACCAAATAGGCTAATATTGATAGATGACTAAACAGGATAGAGTTAGTTAGATAGCCTCTTTCATGGTATGCTCTTTGATAAAGGGATCTAGAGTTCTTATCTGTGTGGTCAATAAATAGAACAGATATTGACAGAAAGTATTAAAAGCACTGGCATGCTATTGAGCAATGAGTATTTTCTGAAGCATGAGTTATCGTGAGACTACTTTATACACTATTATCATTGGGGCTATCAGCTGTCAACTTCTTCTACACAGGATCAGTCAAGCTAAAAATATAAATAAATATTCCACAAAGGAAACAATATATGTACTAAATATCTCCAATAAAAATATTGTTTTAAAAATCCACAGCATTCCAGGTTTCTGATGTGTAGAATAGATGTCACATATTTTTAGCATAGATGCCACATATTTATATTTTGTAGCATTCCAGCACTAACCCTAGCTTAAGCATTCTGATTCCAAAACACTTAAGTAAAAAAAAAAAAAAAATTCCAAACTTTCACGGTTTGAAAATCTTCACAGCATATAAAAATATGATGCTACATAATTTCCTACTTTAATAGTTGACATTATAAATCAATTATAAACTCATATTCTCATATTCAGCACTGACAATATACCCAATTAACAATACATAATTCATGTCTCTGAATGTCTTTCATGTTGTCACTGACCTAGGGCCAGAGGTGAAAGAGAAACATTTTACTATCATGTTTTCACAAACCCAGACTGACAAGTGTCATCTCAAGGGACACTATGAAGTCATGCCGTATTTACTAGTAGATTAAGGGAAGGATCCTCTAGTTGAAAATATAATCAGTTAATAGAAGCCACCATTGGTCTACATTGCTATCATGGTCTACATCGATATCATAAGCAATTGCTATGCAAGAAAAAACAAAACCCTTCATGCACTTTCATGTGATGGCCCGACTTTATATTAAAAAATCAAATAACATTCATGAAAAAAAAAAAAAATATATATATATATATATATATATATATATATATATATATATATTCCCAATGATCATGCACTTCTTCCCACAGACTAAGCCTGCTTTAACAAAAAAAAAAAAACAAAAAAAAACCAAAATTATTTACTCCTTAAAATTATCATCTGAAAGCTAAATTTTATGGTTTGTTGATATAACAGCTTTTTCTGTATTTTTAGTGACTGTAAACAAAGCATTTGAGTTAATTATATTTTTTATACTTTATCACATTAAAAGGCAATTGGTAAACTATAGCCATCATTTCTGTTGTCTTTATTTATTAAGGTAATTATATGGTTCCTGCTTCAAATTCACTCATTGGAAAGTTTATCATCGGCTTGATTTATGTGAACTATTTTTAGATTATTCCTTTTATTTGCCAAAATAGAAACCCTTTTTATCCACTGAAATTAATATCACCCATGAAACCTGGTTAATGAATGCTATATTATATTATAATCAATCACTTATTAGTACAAAAGTATTTAAAGTTGTGTTACACTGGAAACAATACAATAATTAGTTTTAAAATTGATAATGGATGACAAGAATGTAAAAATCAAGAGCCCAGTAACACAATGTTTCCTGAATACAACAATTCTCTAATGATTAGCTAATGCTGTGCTTTTTCTATTCTTTTTTGAAATAATACATACATATATATATATATACATATCTATATAAACACACACAGACACAAACACACATATATATACATATATGTATGTATATATATATATATATTAAAAAAGAATACTTAATAATATGGTGTAATAATTAGTCACTGCCATGATGAATAAATGATTAAAGCATGTAAAGCTTTCCGTGTCCAAAAAAATGCACTAGGCTTCAGTTGGAAATAATGCTTAACACTGTACTTCCAGTTTTAATTCGTGCCCTGGTACCATGTGCTTGCATATATTTATACAGCAACCCCTTCCACGTTTATCTCACAAGAGGCGGTGAAGACCTCCATGTTTTTGTTTGTGTGCAAACACACTGAGAACAAAGTGGAGGCTGCTTGCCTTACCTTTGGGTATTGTTTGACGGGAATCAATACTCTCTCAGACAGCTTTATGTTTTTGTTGCTGATGACATCGAGATACTTCTTTTCTTCGTCTTCCTTTTTTCCATCTGAACCTTGAAATTTCTCAATTTCTGAAAAAAGACAGAACCAGAAAACCAAAATGAGTGGAATGAAAAGTAGGTCCTGCGATTCCACATAAGGTTTGGATCGTTTTGATAAAGGCTGGACCTGCACCGTGCAAACAGCTATGTGAATTCTGCTACAAGGCAACCTCTGCCAACAAGAACTAAAAGGTGAAAATGCAACGTGACTGCAGATGCTGTGAACAAAATGGTGCCCTTAGCTGCTGAACATAGGGTCTCCTAAGTACAAGAACACCATGTCCTTTGACGACTTAAAACATCTACACAAACAGCCGTCCCGGGAACAGGGATGAGTGTAAAACATATCTTGAGTTTCGATTATTTTTAGTTCATGTAGAATTACTCCTGAGAAAATAAAATACTGAAAAATAGTAATCATCCAGTTCCCTAAAATATAATAAAATAAATGACATATCTTTATGCCATACAGAATCTTAAAATCAATCCTAAAAGGAAGGGTCATACAAAGTATAAAGATTTGCAATTAGTAAATGTTAAGGAAAATGACTCTTTTGTCCTTAAGAATGTTCAAAAGAAGCTATTCTAAATATAATCATACAATCTATTCATTCTTTCATTTTAATATTTTCATTAAAAATGTGGATCTCTACTATACTTCCCTCAGATAGATAACTGAAAGCACCCCGTACAGTATGCATCCTATGAGAAAACAAATATGTGTAAATGTGTTTGAGGAGAAAATACACACCACGAAACTACTGAAGGTATCAATAGGAGTAAAGTCAAGGGATTCAGTCTGTGCTTAAAACTTGTTAGAGTGAGTCAGTCCAAGTCCTGTAGTTAAAGACGAGTAAGGCATGACGAGACAGACAAGAAATGATAGCAGCTGAGCAAAGAGCAAGAAATTTGGTGGGAAGATATAGGGCAAAGCTTAAGATCCTGCAGGACAGATGATTTCTGAATTTGTGTGCCTGCATGCGAGCATGCATGAATGTAAGTGGTAGTCAGCTTCACCAGTGCTGCGCTTACCAGACTCGGTGATTTACACTCATATAGCTGGGAAGTGATGCTGAGGCTGGGTTAACAGGGCAGGAAATAGATGGTAAGGCAAAGGTCTATCTAGTTGAAGCTGGAGTCATCCCATATAACTGGCCATGGGAAAGGGTTGCATTTGGGACATAGAAAAGCTTTTCTCACTATGTTTATCAGTTATAACACCTGTAAATAATTATTGCTTTGCTCTTTGACATCTTTATTGTCCCCAAACACCAACTAGTGCACTTATGAAGGGAAAAGTTTCTTACTTTTGCTACAGATGCATGGAAACCTTCTGTCCATAGTGTTGTGTAGAGTGAAAAAGAGAAATTGGATATTAAGGTGGGCATTGAAATATATGTTAATTCAATCACTTTTAATGTCTGCCTACTCACAAAGCTATAAAATATATACTATATTTATTATGCAAAAGTTGCTACTGAATACTATATTGATTTTTTAATCTTTGGAAACTTACATATTTAGAAAATAGATCTCCAAAAGCTTACAGAAAAATTGCTAACATTCCTGTCATAGATCTGTGGACTTCCATCTTGTCCTGTGTGCAACTTCAGCAATGTTTTTACTATTTTTTTTGCTTATGTAGTCACTACCTGGATCAAAGCTATGCGGAAGGGTTTGAATATGTATATTGACTTCAATAGCCACACACTAAAATTTCACTTAAGCCAAGTGTCCTACAGAGCTATTTAAAAATAAGATGAGAGGGAACTGGGATCAATATGTAAAATAAGAAAAAATTATAAATACATATATATAATAAATACATTTTTAAAAAGTTAAATATGTACTGGCTACTACTTAGCATGTTGCCATCAGGCTTCTACTGACCCACCTCAATGTTTTGTCATCAGTATATTAAGAGCTAACTTTAAGTAGACTGCTTGATAAAGCTCTTTCTTCAGATCTTTCCCTACCTTATACCCTTTTACAAGCAGAACTCTGGCAATGACACGTCAGTGTTTTCCATTACATACTGTGTGATTACAATGCACTCCTGACCAACGTCCTTGGTACTTGTTCCTTCCCAGCTCTTTACTTCCTACTCTGTGGAGGGAACTGTAACATGAGAAACACTGAAGCTCAAGCTAGTCCCAGTCTGATACTCGAAGAGCTTCTTTGTCATTCTGCCACACTAAGAAACTGAATTTGGAGGCCTTTTTAGACACTAAAATTTGGTCTTTCTATGGTTAACTCTAATGATGTTCCTATCAAGAAGCATAGATGAACGAAATTCCATTTCCAATACTCTTTCTGTTCAATGCTGCAATCTCCCTAAGAAACTCTTGCTATTTCTTTTGGCCTCGTGGCAGATTTAAAGAGGCGTCTTTTCTTCCCTGACTTATCTGTGTGAGCAATAGCTCAAAAATTACATGTCAACTACAGTGCCAAACCTTACCTGGTTTCAAAAGCAGAGCATTCAAATTTACGCGGCACATTTCCTAATTTAATTTTTGGTTTCAGTTGCTTACTTTTATATATTTAAAATAATTGTTTGAATTTTTACTCTTCAGTTAGTTAGTTAGTTACTTACGGTACTATGAGTTAAATCCGGTCTCATGCACAACACCAGGCAAATGCTCTACCACTAAGGTATATCTCCAGCCCTCTTTTGTATATTTACTTATACTTTAAAGTATAATCTTTAGGATTCCACAATGTTCTGGACTCACTCTGTATTACTGTGGTCCTAAACATAAGGTAGTTTAGCATCAGCTTCCCATGGAGCTTAGTACACAGGATTGCATCAGCAGGGCCAACTTAAAATAAACCTTTCTTTTATTTTATGATTAAGATATATGCTTTGTAAGATTTAGAGAATAGTTACTCATAAAATTTCAATGGTGTACTAATTAGAGAGTACTTTATAAAGAAATCAAAACACTTCATATTTCCACAAAGTATCTATTTAACTCCAATCAGTACATTATGGGATATGGTATTTAACATATTTAAGGTAATGGTTTTAAACATTAAAGTGCCAAATATTTAATGTTCTGTGTTTTCTTGCTTTGGTTTGCTAGTGAATATATTCATTTAAGAATTTCAAATGCTAACAGTATAGAGAATGGGTTATGTGGAAATACGAAGATGCATTCCTTTATCATGTCTTCATCTCCTTGATAGCTGGCTGGCATCAGAGGAAGGCCACAGAAAAGAGCAATGCAAAAGAAATTTTCCAACCCTCCCAGGGAGGGAAAGGGAACTGGGATCGATATGTAAAATAAGAATAATTAATTAATTTAAAAAAGTAATTTTCATTTCTGGTCTTTCATTATTTCAATGACTTACTGCCATATGAACATCTTTAGTGGTGTTTAATATATGGGGGCTTTTATATTTCAATGAAAAAAAAGTTAATATCTGAGATTAAGTATGCAGGCTAGTTATCTTCAGTATTTCTGAAATTTTATTTCTCATTCTCTAAACATTAATCAACACCATTTTGTAGAAATGAAGAGAGGCACGTACTTTCTTCTTATGTCCATATTATTTTCTTTTAAAGTGTATATTATCTGTTGATTGTACATGTTAGAAATCAAGTAGGGGTTTCTTATTAATTAAAGTTTACATGACTCATTACTGTTTAATGGAAATGATATGTATTCTCTGTTGTTGGAGTCAATAGTAGGATTTAAGAGCTTAAGACACCATACATGTACACATACAAAGAATACATCTTTGAATAAAAAGGCAATGTGAATATTTCTCTGGAATATTCACTCAACAGTAGATTTGTGGCTCAAAATTGAGTACATAGTTATAACAACTAAATTAGTCTAGGCTATTTGATTCCATGAAATATGATAGGCCCATTCTAGCAAAGTATAAATGTTCCAGTTACCACTAACTGCTCAAAAGGTGTGTTTGGGTTTTTTGTTTGTTTATTTTTTGTATTTGTTTTGTTTTGTTTTGTTTTAGGAATTCCCTAAAGAAAGGAAACAGAATAAAATGGTGAAAGTTAGGGATTTAATGTTGAAGATGAGATTACAATCCAATTACAATGTATCAGGGCAATATAGTGTTTATTTTTAAATCTCAAAGCAACAGTGACATTACAGGATGTGAAATGAGAAACTCTGAGAAACTGCTGGGAGAAATAAGATCTGCTAATATTAGCAAGAATCCTAAGACATAGACATCTCAAAACTTAACAAAATGAACAATGTTTGAGGCAATACTGTACATGACCTCATGCTTTATGACAGAACCACAGTAACAAAAGCAAAACAGACACAGAAAAACAGCATGCAGAGTGGGACACAGGACCTAAGTATGAGAATGCAATTACAGCCATGATTTTTCCAAAGATTTAAAAAAATACGTTTAAAAAAAAAAAAAAGGGAGTCTCTCTAGGCAATGACTGGATACAACATGCAAAAGAGTGAAAATGATTCCCAGTATAAAGAAGTTAGCTCAAAATCGGTCAAATATCTCAATGTAACACCTGTAACTCTAAAATTGTAAGAGAAAAAAAAGGTAATAGTAAAATGCTAAAGGAAAAAAAAAAGTCATTTGTTTTCAGGTTATTGGCATAGGCTAAGATGTTCTGGAATAGACTTCCAGTAGTTCAGGAAATAACATCAAGAAATCATTTGCTACATTTCATGAAATTGAATAGAGTCTTGGGAAAGTTACATGCCTGCTAAGCAAATATGAGGTCCTGAGTTTGGGTCTCCAGCATCACAGAAATGCTGGGTGTGTTGTCATACAAGCTTAAGCTCAGCATTTGCAGGAAGGGAAAACAATAGGCAGGTGGTGGAGGTTTACTTGCCTGTCAGTGTAGCCAAAATAGTGAAGTAAGCATTAGTGAGAGATGCTGTCTCCAAATAATCTGGAGAAACAGTTGAGGTCACTTATGCAATCTCTGTCCTCTGTATGCACATGTATGGGCAAGCTCACCCTCATATATGCATAATATATCATGGATCACATGGGGCAGAGGTAGAAGGGGAATGATGGAGAGAGAA